CCGGAGGCGCGGTGCGCATCGAACAATGTTGCCACTCCCGAGATCACCAACCTGATTTGTTGGAACAATCGGGAGACCTCATCGGACCACTCCTTGTTCTTTCCCGTTCGGCTAACTGGGGGCTTTTCGCTCATTAAGAGATCCAGCTTCTTTGTAGCTGCTTTGGTCTGAGAATCGAACAGCTCCAGGGCAAACTGTACTTCTCCGGCCGAAGGACGATGCCACTTGATTGTGAGGTCAGCCGGAGAGGTTGTCTTTCCCCAGTCGGTGACGTCGAGTCCGCGCTTAATGATGTCGGGCTCATACAAAGCGGTGTCGATGGGATAGGTGTGTGTCAAGTTCAATAGCAGGTGGTGAATGTAGTTGGAAATGTGAATGGTGGGCAAACCACGGCACTTCTCTTGCATGTATTTGGCGATGTCATGGAGCTCGGTCTGATACTTCAAAACCTCATTACCAACATGCACAACAGCCATACCCAGCATGCTTACGTGCCAAACGAGAGCGCGATCTCTCGGCAAGTAGTCAGTACCGCTGCTTCGGTCTGATGCAGCATGATTGAAGTCAATCTCATTTCGAATATTGACAATGAGCATGGGAATGAAGACCTTGAGAGTCTTTTCCGGGTTCACCTTGCAGAGGGCGTTGAGAATCCAGGCCATGGCGTCTCTGGCCTGATGGACGACATGGGTCGAAACGAAGGAGGCGAGCTTCTCGAGTGCCGTGTCGAAAAGCTCAGGGGACAGCGATGCGAAGAGAGGTGAGAGAGCTGCCGGCAACGCGTTAATAACATTGTCTTCCGGCGTGCCCCCCCGGATATGGGACGCATCGGGCAGATTCTCCAACAGTGTAAAGACTTTGCCCAAGAGGGCGATGACGAACTCGCCGAGTCCCGCTGTTGATGATCTAAGGACGTTTGCTTCATCCTCATCGGTAAGTTCAGTTTCGTAGTCCAGTTTGATATCCTGGCCCTCACGCTCCATGCGCTCCATCTCACCCTGAACCCATTGCATGGCCAGGCTGGTGTCGTGGACATAATCGCCGTCCTTGACGAGAGGCACCATGGGAATGCTATAGGCGACACTTTGGAAGAAGTTCAATGTGTACTGCGTCTTGCCCAAGTCGTTGGCATCAATACCAGGAAGGGCAAGAGCCAGAAGAGCAGTAATGTGGCAGCGGAAGCCTTTGGTCTTGGACATGACGTTGGCAATCATTTGCAGGCCGTTCAGACTTGACGTTGTCCGGTGTACTTCAACGAGACCCTGCAAACTTGGGTAAAATCGCTGCAAAGCTCCAGGTAGGATGAGATTGGGCTCGAGGTATGCCAATCCTTGAAGCGACGCGTAATAGTAATGCGCAACTCTGTTACTCTTGGAGAACAGTCCCATGTATGTGACCTCCTTGAGCGCAGACACGAATCGTTGCTTCAAGGCGGGAGTGATCTTGCGATCCTCTGGCGTATCTAGTTCGCCGCTCTTTTCGCGGTTCCAACGAGACACAAAGATATCTGTTAGGTATACTGTAAACTGTCCCAAAAAGGTGGTCCATGATCCCACGTTGGAGGGGTGGTAGAAGGTGTCGATGGCCTCTAAAAGGCCCTCGAGACTCGCCAGAATGGAGCTTTCTTGCTCCAAGCACTTGGGCGACAAGGAGTAGACAATCCACCGGGCAATCATGTAAGCCGTGGGGTATTTCTTCTTGTCCTTCTCGAGATACAGGCCCAAGCCTGACGAGTAGTCGAGAGTCGAGTATGGTGAGTTGGACTGGCCGACCGGAATCTCTGTCAAGCGAAGAATAGCCGTAAAAATCCAATCAGACTGTTCCCTAGTAAAGATGCCGTGGGCATCGAATGATGTATTGGAGGCTTGCAAAAAGTCTCTTGCCATGCGAGAGTAGAGGTCAATGAAGAAGACATCGAAGCTCTTGGATCTCGAGATCAAAGACCACAGGTGGAATAGTGTGGGCATGAACTCTTGCGGCTGGGAGCACGGCACGTTTTCGGGGGCAGCATCGGTGGGAAGTAGTGCGTTGATGGTTCCGACGACAATATAGGCGTTGGAGACATCTGAGGTGCTAAAGTAGGGCAGGAACTCGTCGAGCATTTCTTTGCGGTCCTTGGGATCGAAGTATGTCTGAGCATGGAGGCATAGCTTCCACAACTGCTTTTGGGAGCGGCGCCTGTTTGTCTGGTGTGAAGCCACCTCTGAGGGGAGCACCAGGGCCTTGATCTCGCGCCATAAGGGGCGCCAATCGAGTAGAAGGTCATCGACGGGTTTGAGGTAGTGGTACTTTCTGTACGAGAGAAGTAATGGTCAGCGGCTAGTCTGGTAGGACGAAGAAGAAGCAGGGTTGATTGAGAGGAAGGGTAGGGAGTAGCAGCGCACCTCGTCAAGATGACAACCATGCGCAAGAAGCGGTCGGCAGTACTTGGCTCAAGGCCTGGGGCGAGGCACAGGTGATAGTAGAGCTTGGCCAAGGTTGAGCGAAGCTCTCGCGTCATCTCGAACTTGAGATTCAGCCACCCTGTGAGCTCTCTTGTCCAGTGCAAAGCACCGGGGCTAAAGTCTTCAGCCTTGATGGCGATGTATAGGTGCTTGAGAATACCGGCCAGAGCAGCATCGCGCTGTGATTCCTCTTCGACAGGAAAGGGCAGGTGATTGAAGTAGCTAAATGTGCGGGGGCGGTATCGCTTCTTGTCGTCCTCGTCGTTCTTTGTGTAGGGCGGACCGGGGGAGTTTGATCTTGAGATTGTATCGACGGAGGCGAAGTGGCTGGACAGGTAGTGTGCGGTAGAGGCAGCAGACAAGGCAGCGGCATGGTTGGAGGGTTGCGGCCCCGGTGTCTCGTCCATGGCGGCGATGGCGTCGTGTCGAGGACACTGGACGTTGGGAAGATGGGTGGGAGGTGTTTTGCGACTCTATCGATGAGCGACCGAGCGGAGGGGTAGCAACAATGGGGATGGTCGCACAGGTGCAGCAGGAATCAAGCTCTCCCGCTCCCACACCACAGGCAGGCGAGATGCAATGCAGCTGGGGGCGTCAGCGGACGGGAGGTCGGGTGGTGTCGTCGGTCGCGGGGCGTGCGTTGATCCGGGGGGGTACAGCACGAGATTGGAGGCAAGGCGACGGTTGAAGGTGGACGGATGGGCGGATCCGCGGGTGGATTGGTAGTACGGAGAGGACGTCAGGAAGAAGTCGTAGAGGAGGGGGGTTGTCGCGGACAGCTAGGGCAAATGTCTGATGGCCGCTGGGTATGGTTGTTGTCTATCAATGGTGGTCAATTGCGTCGTTGTGTTGGAAGTCGAACCAATGATGAATAATGGACGATGATGCTGTCTGGGTCGTGTGTCTCCGCAGAACCCCCGTTTGGCTGTCCCAGTCCAGTCTTGGGCGCGTGGGGATATGAGCACCGAAAAGGATACCTGGGACAAGGGGGAAATTGACTAGGACAAGAAGGAGAAGAAGCACGACAAGAACAACAAAAAAAGGGCGTTGGATGGTAATGCAATCTTCTGTTTCCCCAATTCCAAGCAGCCTGGAGAGGAGAAGGAGTAGGAAGAGGAAGAGGAAGAGGAAGAAGGAGAAGGGAAATAAGAAAATAAAAAAAGAGACAGATGCAGACGCAGACAGGATGCAGGTGCAGCGGGTGCAGCTGTGGTCGGAGCGGGAGAGGCAACAGAGGCGGGCACGTACTTCACCGGGGAACGGGTGACGGTATGCGGTCGGCGGCCTTGCAGCATTTGCAGTCAAGCAGCAGTGAGGAAAACTACCTACCTACCTTAATGTGCCAGGTTGGTGTACCTTACCTAGGTACTCGTACCTAAGGTAAGGTAGGTAGGTACGCAGGTAATAATGGACGCAGCGGGAGGGAGTGATGATGCAGCAGAGCAGCAGCCTGGGCCTCACCTTTGCTGGGGAGAGCCGGCGAGGAGACCTCAGCCTGGAAGGTGAGCTCTCAAGTATCTCTCGTGCCAAAGCTGGTGTGGAGATACATCTGATGTCAGAAGACCTGCTCCAGGACCTCATTACGCACCCTTGGCAGCCTTGCCTTGCCTTGCCTCGCTGTTCCTGGTGCCTTAGGTAAGCTTGAGGTCCCCACCTTAGGTTGGCTTCCTCTCTCAGTGACAGCTGCATCCCAGCGCTTGCCGCGATTTCCTTAGTTACTTACCTTGCCTAAAGTGCACTGCGTGACTGCGAAGAGGGCCACCTGAGCGGGGAAAAGGACCCCGAATGGCCCCTCTTTCAGCCTCCAAGTCTCTACATGTATCTCGTCTGCTAACTCAAGCCTGGAACTACTTCTCGAAACCTGCCGCGAGCACTGACTGAGACGGGAAGATGGACCATAAGGGCACAATCCACGCAACTTCAACCATCACCAAACGGACTTCTCTTACCAACACAATCGCGACGCCTCAAGTCCATCTCATCCACTTACGTATACAGACTGTGACGCAGCATGTCCAGTCGAGACTCACTGGTGGACTCGATATTGCGTCGCTGCACTTGCGTTGCTTCAGAGGAGAAAACAGACGCACAACCCGATTGCTCACATGTTACAGCATCACGTTTACGGAGCACCTCACCTACTTCAAGACCTTATTACAGCTCCTCAATGTTTAATCTGTACTCTGTACATCTTATTCCAACTCAAGTATCCGCACTCTGCCATCTCCCATCATGCTCATCGGTCTCTCCAACACAGTTCATCATGGTCAACCTCACCAACGCCAACACGTCGCCTTCATCTTTCTCACGTTACGGATACGGCTGCGACCCTGCAAAAAAGCACAAACCACGCGTTCCAACATGCTGCCATCGTGACGGCAACCTGCATTGCTACCCATGTCTACGTGACTATCCTCGTCGAAATTCACCTGCACCAATCGGTAGGCAAGCATCGACCAACCTGACATGCCCATAGATATACCGAGTATTGGCACCGGTTCGCGGCCAACAGCCTGGAATTGAGGAGGAGCCAAGCACCACTCACCAACTTCTCGCATGCCCATCCGCTCATTAGTCATGCTCAAACAGACAATATCTGCCCACAGACGGGCACGGCGGGGAACCGGCCGAGTGTTACCGGCCCGAACTAGGCCTGTCCGTCTGCAGGCCACTCGCGCCACATCTATCCGTCCTCCTGGCTCTTGCTGCTACTGCTGTGAGCATCATAGACATTGGCCAGGTCAATGCGCTTCTTTTCTCTTCCAGCTCGCCGAAGGCGGCACTCGGAAGACGCAATCATCCACCCCAACACTACGAGCTCACTCTCACTACTCTTGAGGTACCAGAAGCAGCCGTGTTTCACTCTCACAGTGATTGATTCCATCCTTGGGTCCAAATTCTATCACATGAATTCGCGGCCACGTTGTGTCTCGTCTGCCTGCGTCCAGCAAACCATCAATTCAGGGCCTGGACACATCCATTCCTGAGCCCTATCCAAATGGTAATTTCCGTGGGACAAGACTTCCAGCATGCGCGTCAAGATCTTGCTGCCGCTCCCTCAGCCTTCAGGGTCTACGTAGTAGGAGCTGAGCAGGCACAATGTGTCCGGTCGATTATCGTCCCTTGTTGATCAAGTCACGACAAATGCCGAATGCTCCAGATTTTAAGCATTTGATGGCCACTATGCCCCTGCATGACAATTTCGCCTCTGCCCACGCTCAAGGTTGAGGCTGTTCATGCGAGGAACATCCCAACTCACGTTGTCTTCAAAGCCGGACAGCCTATTACCGACCATACTTACTTCATATCTATGGACGGCCATTCGCGATGGGAGACTTAGAAAAAGGCAACGTCTCTACTGGTACCAAAGAGGAGATGAGACCATCCCCTCTCGGCCTATTCATATTTCAGAGCTAAAATACACGATGATATCGGTCCATTCCCTCAGAAATCGTTGGAAGGCACCCTTGCACCTATCCGCACAAGACCCCCAAGACCCCAAGACCCGATGGCATGGCGCCACGCCGGCAGTACCTTCTTAGCTCGCCGCCTCCGTATCGAACCGATGCCCGGCCTCAATTCGGCCCTGCCGATCAAGAATTTTCCAGACCGCTGTTCATCCTCTCTTGCCTTACGTATGGCTCGTTATTCCTACCGAGCAGTGACCAGCCGGTTTGAATCCCAGGAACGAAAGCCCTCAAAAAATACTCAAATCATACGACCGCCCCCTTTTCTTATCACTCCAGTACCGACTCGTTGGCGTGACCCGCAGGGAAGAACCACAGCAAAGGTTGGCTGACTCATCTGCCGCAGACTCTAAATTTAATGTAGGGCCATCCCCGTAGGTTGCCAAAGTACAGTGACGTCGATCATCTGAGCGCCAGGAACCTCGAGCAAGGAATCGCGTCCAAAGGTTGCAACAAAGAACCAATCAGTCGCTTCTCACAACTCATCAATCTCATCAAGAGAACCTCAAAACATTCATTTTACCCATGTCGAATCCATCATAATGGCTGCCGCCGACGAACCAACAAGTCAGTCCGATCCTTTCACTCTCATACTCAGCCTCGCGTACTCACACAATATCGCAGATGTCGTCTCCAAGGCCTCGACCCGAACCAGGGACGAGGGCCAAATCTCAGACGAGCCGCCCCAGAATGCCCTCATGGCCACCCTCTCCCGCACAAAGAGCAGAACCAACACCCTTCTGGAAAAGGTCTCTCTGCGCGAACGCATACATCATTTCACTTTTGCATGGTACACCCTAACGTATGTCTCATGCCACGTCCCGAGCCGACGGCTTCCCATGCAGGCTTACCGGCCTAGGCCCCTCACCCCCTGTATCTCACTGACACCTCCCACACAGCATGTCAACAGGCGGCATCGCCCTGCTCATCGCCGAGACTCCCCATCGATTCCGCGGGCTAGACACGATAGGTCTCATCGTCTTCCTTCTCGACATTGTTCTCATCTTCCTCATCACGTTGGCCCTTTGCCTCCGCTTCTCCTTCTTCCGAAAGACGCCAGCAAAAGCCATCACGCACCCTTCAGAATCCCTCTTTATCCCGACCTTCTTCCTCTCCATCGCTGCCGCCCTTTCCAACATTCAACACTACGCTGTTCCGAAATGTGGTCCATGGCTCATCGTCACCTTGAGAGTGTGTTTCTGGATCTACCTCGTGGTCACCTTCTTCGCCTCCGTCGGCATGTACCACCTCCTCTTCACCGGCCGCAGAAGACTGTCACTAGATAGCATGACTCCGGCCTGGATTCTGCCCATCTTTCCCGTCATGCTATCAGGTACGCTAGCTGGCTTCATGGCCTCCTCGCAGCCGCCAAATCAAGCCGCTGCTATGCTAGGCGCAGGTCTCGCGGCTCAGGGGCTGGGTTTCCTCGTCTCAGCTTTCATGTACGCGACGTATCTGTCCAGACTCATGACCATTGGCCTCCCCGTCCAACGCCCCGGAATGTTCATCGCAGTCGGACCGCCGAGTTTCACCGCCGCAGCCTTGGTAGCCATGGGTGCCAACGTGCCCCGGCTCATCGCTTCCGAGGGATCCATCATCTCCGATTCCCTCCGCGATGCGGCTTATCTGTACGGCATGGAAAATCCAGGCACCGTCGCTTTCGCCGTAAGGGCCGTCGCTCTCTTCACCGCCGTCTTTCTGTGGGGCCTGTCGTTCTGGTTCTTCTCATCCGCCTGTCTCTCTACGATGTTTGGGATGCCCGATCACTCCTTTCACCTCAGCTGGTGGAGTTTCGTATTCCCCAACGTCGGCTTCACCATTGCCACTATCCGCATAGGCGAGGCTTTCGGCAATGAGGGCTTGCTGTGGTTAGCCACGGTGTTCACCATTGCGCTGGTCGCCGTTTGGCTGTTTGTTGGCTTTTGCTGTGCCCGTGCCGTCATCAGGAGAAAGCTCGTATGGCCTGGCCGGGACGAGGACAGCGACTAAGCGACGGGCTTCACAAAGTGTCCCTCATCCGAGGTCTCTACTTTCAGGTTCTCATTCAATCCTAATGAAGACGGTGTGGCAACTTTAGAGCCTCCTCGTCCTGCTAATGACCTACTCTTACCTACTTTAGACTATATACCCCCAGCCAGGCCTTCCTGTACCCTTAGATATTAGCTTGAGACCATTGATTAAAGTACATGTTTATCCAGCTGTTTGCTGTTGGTGTTTCATAAGTATGCTCATGGCCTTTCAAGCCAGACAATGAAACTTGTGTGAACGCAGGTCAAAGAAAACAGTAGCCCAGCTTGAAGACAATGCCTTCTAACACATCGCGCACGTATACGTAGGTAAATAGACACACCGATGAGATTATGTAGTGAGGCATATTAAGCCCTAATGAATGAATACACACGCCGCTTTGGAACACCTTTTCACAAATACTCACGCATTCTGAAATTTCTGAAATTGGGGAACGCTCCTTCCATCGCCAACCCAAGACAACATTCATACTTTCTCATCATTCAACACGGCATCATCGCACAGAGGAACAATGGCCACCCCAGGCTCTCTCTACCCTCCCCCAACCACACCCACCTCCGACTTTGCATACGTGATTACCAACTGCGCCAAAGCCAAGGTCAAGTGGGAAGTTGAGAAGTGCTTCATCTGGCACGGTGACTGGGCGCCCTGCGTCCCGGACGAGGTAAGCAATCAATTGGCTTGTAATAGGTAAGAAACACGCAGACGGACTAATCAGTAGATAGGAAGATGAGGAAATCATCGGCGACCTGCAGTCTGAGGATGGCCATGGCCACCTGCCTTTGAAATTCCCAGGCCCTCTCCCTGATCACTTCGGCACCTCCGTCGTGTGCTACTCTCGTCAGAATCCCGACGGCTCCAAGTACGAGGTCATTAACTCCGCAGTCAACGATCCCAAGCAGAGTATTGCCTTCACTATCCGCCTGGTCGTTGGGAATCATCCGCAGGCTCTTCCCATGACCGGTAACGAGCTTTGCATCTTCCTTCAGATGACAGGCTTCTTCAATCCTAGTTATCGATACAAGGCCGTGGAAAACTATCTGGCCCGTAACGAATGTTACGTTGCTGACCGATCCAAGCATATCTTCTGCAACAATGCAGCGGTCAGTGAGGATGACGAGGAGATCAGAATCGTCAAGTTCGTCGTCGGCCAGGCTGATCCCCTCATTGATTCCATGTCCTTTTTCCTGCCCCTTTGGCTGGAAGCCCACCAGTTCGACGACGTCCTCCGCCGAGACCGCGATATCGAGCGCAAGAAATCTCGCTACAGAAAAGAATTCAGTTTCGAGACGGAAAGGGTTGCTCGCACCTCGGCGTACCTCATGCAGCTCAAGAAAAAGGCTCTTCAGTAAGGGATTGTCATTGGACCTAACCAGTCCTCATGGGATAGTTTTTCTGTTAGTATATGCACTGCTCGCCTCGTTCATATTACTCACACATATGTACGAACCATTGTTCCATTAGAGGATGCATCTAACATCACAGATGACCGTCATCGATACGAGTCTGAGATAACAGATGAGCACTGGAAGGGGGTCGAAGGCTGGAGATATGGCGACGCACGGTCTGAATGGGGGCTCGTAAGTCTGTGTCCTTTCTCAGGTTGAAGAGCGAATGAGTCCATGCTGATTATGCCTAGTCATCACCAAAACGCCATCGGGATAGGACAGCTATCATGGCTTTATCGTTCTTGTACCCAGAATGAACATCTAGCTCAGGAATACAAAGAACTACGCCCAAAAGGCTTTGTTCCTTGCTTGTTATCTTATGATTGTTATAGGTTGCCCAACATGTCGAATGAAGAACGAAAAGCTACCAATTCCAAGGCCGAGACTCCTTTCTTACAGAGTGTGCGAGGCTCCATGACATACCCCACGCCGCCGACTGTATGCTACATTTTAACAACAAGGCATCCGGCCCAAATTCCAAGCTCGTGGAATCCAGTTGTGTAGATCATCATACCTAATATTGTGCTGCACTCTCGACTAGGGCCCTCTTAGACTATTTGATCGATGCACCATTTACTCGGTACTTTTTAAACAGTAAACCCAGAGTTAGGTGTTCACAAATGATGATTTCAGAACAGTTTGATAGGCCACGATTGAACCATGGTCAGAAGGTCTCCCCTACTGCAATCTGCAGTCCTACCCTCGTACTTACTTTGATGCTAGAAAGAGGCTTAAAAACAGGTCAAGCCATTACAAGGTGCCTCGTGACTTGGGTCAATTGGATGAGGGACTTGTCACCGGTGGTCATCCAATATTAGCCTTTCATCACGATCATAGACCCTGAATTGCCCTGGAAGACAAATTTTATTGGCGTATAGATGACATGAACATGCCAGAGACGTCAACCGACCTTGGGAAACATGACATCACTCTTCATGCTTGAGTCACATTGTTTGACTACACCTCATACGCAAGGCTTTAGGTTTGCTTGGCTTACCTGCCAGCAAGAGCCAGGGTCCAGATAAGGGTTCATGAGGCTTTCCAGGCTATCCGAAGTGGCCGACATTCTTGGTCATCATCCCATATGCAGTACGGGGCGTTGAATTCACAAGGCACTTCCGTCATGCGACTCGATGTCAAAAGAAAAGTTTATTTATTATGATGAACAGGTTAAACTGAGATCCATGCGCCGCAGCAGCAGAACCCGGGGTATCTCAAGCAGGCGGTAGAAACGACGCAAACAACACACCCTGAATCATGGCGTACATTACGGAAAATATGACAACTTTGCCGCCAACGTCCCGTCTCTTGCCGTTGGCGCCGTGGTCCAGCAGACAACCGGCAACCCACCAGTACCACACCGCATACCCAGACGCAATCCTAGTGATGATCTGGACATGGTACGTCGTGATCGCCAAGGCGGCAAGCAGAAGTTGGGCAGCGGCCATGGAACCTACTAAAACCGACTTCGTGCCACTCTGCCCTTGTCGCTGCTTCTCCGCCGTCGGACTCCGCGCCAACCCCGAAGGCCTGTTGATGACTTCCCACCCGGACACCATGAGGAGTCCCAGCACCGGCGCGGCAAGAACGAACAGAGGAACGTTCGATAGCGTCCAATAACGGAACAAGCCAACGCCCCTGCGTGATCCAAGATTAGCAAGCGAGAACAGAATCTAGAGGAACCAAGTGACATTCACGATCCCTCAAAACCCAGATCCCACCTCAAATCTCCGCAAGTACCGACCCAAAGCACTTGACGGGGCCCGAGGGAGGGAAGCAGACAGAGGGGGGAGGGGTGACTCAACCATGACCAGACCCATGGCTAGTGTAGGGCTGGAGAGAAATTTTCATTCCTTAAAGAGGAAACGACGGTGAAGCGCAAAGAGTACATACCAGTAATGTTCCTGTACAAAGGAATAGATGCTGGGCACGGTCCGCTCACACCATGCGCGCGCCTCGGATGCGCCGGAACAGTATCGCAGCCAAGCAAGCGCTTGTGGTACAACGGACCCCGTTGCCACGAGGAGCCCGCCTGTGACAGAACCAAACAGAGCCGCAATATTTTTCAGGCTCATAGGGCTGGCCAGCAGCGGGGGCAGGATCATTAGACACTCGACGGCGAAGGGGAGGCCGTTCAGGAGGCCGTTTGACCGAGAGGCCGTCGCGAGACCAAAGATGGCGCCGGCCAAGATCTGAGCTGTGACCCATGGAAACGACCCCTTAGTGGAGGTCGACGCGGATGCGAGCACGTAGTAGCCGGCGAAAGAGAAGAAGGCGCAAAGACTCTCTGCGTAGGGTGCCGAAAGGAATAGGCCAGCCGGAGACAAGATGTGGAGCAAGGCGGACAGGAATGCCAATCGAGGTCGAGTAAAGAGCTTGATAGTTAGCTCGTACAGTATGAGAGCGGCGAATAGATGAGCTACGTGAGCGATCACGATGCTGAAGGCAGCTTCCGACGCGCCGGTTTCATCGCCCTCGAAGCCAAGCAGGCGCGCGACCCGGATCAGGCCCGAGACGACGAGTGGCAGACCAGCGTTGAAAGCCCACTCCTGTTCGAACACGTAGCCGCGTCTGGCGGATTGAGTGAAGTAGAGAGCGTCCCAGCGCGTCAGGCGGGTGACGAGGGAGACGTCGGACTCATTGCGCTGGAGCATCAAGGTCGTCGAAGTATCGTAAGATGGCGCCGCGGCGCTGCCGAGGGCGATGGCCAGTAGGAGGGCCTTCCAGGCGACGAAAGCGGTGATCAAGGTCTGACGGGGTTGAGAGTCATGGCGGGAGAACATGATTGTGATGACGTCGGGCAAAATCGAGGTGAGGTTGAGGAGCGGGAGATGCCGCGATTCCGGGCGCGAGTAAAGGTCCGCGAAGTGCCAAGGCGGCGGGACTTGTAACGACCACAAGTTGACAACGGACAAAAAGTGTGGCAAGAGATCCACTGCAGGGAAACTCTGAGAGGGAAGACAAAGTTTGAATGCCGTGTTGGTAATGATAGTTGTGGATGAACTTTTGGCTGGCGTTGCCTTTACCTTGACATTGCCGTTTGTCTCGTTGGACGGGAGGACTTGAGGTGAGGTTCAACGGAGTGGGAGCTTTAGGCGCGTCGGAATGGGCGGGAGCAACTGTGGCCAATTGCAACCGCCGAGTGACCTCGGTGAGCCGGCTCCGTCGGTGGCTCGGTGTACGGCGATAATGCACAGACCACCTGCGACTCTTTTTTTTTTTCTGGGGTTCGGATTTTCTTTTTCCTCTCTTCTCTCTGTTTAGTATGGAGTATGGCTTTGGCTACTGTATACCGTAGTCTCTGAGCGAGTTTAGGGTTGGAAAGGTAGGTAATACTGTTTGATCCGTTTGACAGACTTTACCTAAGAAGACATCCCGCCGAGGCGGAGTTCGGGGTCAGCACAATGCGAGCGGGTCTCGATCCCATCTAAACATTGACGATGTGGACGAGACGAAAATTTCTTCCTCCATTTTTTCAGCCCTTTTTGTTTTTCTTTCTTCTCGAAGCGTTCCAAACGTCTGTCTTCATGGGACGAGCCGTTGATTGCGGATGCCAGTGTCCACCTGGCTGTCAAGCCTTGAAGATGAACCGGGACTCAAAACTCCAAGACCATGTCGCCCTTGCCTGGTTACCAGGATTGTAATTAGCGGAAACCAGTACATAGACTGCCCCTCTCAATTCCAACCTCCTTTTACCCCTGTGCTCCTCTCCGCAGCAGTGTAGAGCCTGTACTCCAGGGCTCCAGGGCATTGAATAGCGGAGAGCCCGCTCAGCCCACGGCGCAGTGAGCACAAGTTTGGTGGACTCTGGCCGCATCAGGATCAGTGTGCGATGAAGGTGTGGCGAAGTCTCGGACCAGGTTCCACTGAACAGGGCTCGTCCAGGGCCGCCCGTGGGCAATGGGGAGAAGCTGGAACCTCTTACAGGAGAGCTTCATCCCCTGAATTTGCCGCCCCGTGTCTTTCTTCCCCTGAGATTCCCTCGACTGCATTCCAGCTTGACAAGAGTGAAATGAAGAGAATCTCGTCCATACGGAGTAATAGGTGCTCATTGCTCAAGAACCTACACAGCCTAGTCTCGGTTTGGCGACGGGATGCATGCTAAGACCAAGGTGGGCCGCACCACCTTGAATGGCAAAATGGATCGGGCCATGGGTTCAAGGGAGGATGAGGCTGGCTGGATATTGGCCTGTCCCCTTAATCTGATGTCTACACTAGGTACTTATCTAATCTATGTATTAATCGTCCGTTGTTGATGCATTTGCTTACCGCCATATGCTGACTGAAGGTGGTCGCAGTACGCCCAGGACGGAAAGACGGAGTACTAGGCATGAACGTGCAGACAGCCATTCATCGTGCAGACCGACAGAAAAAAGACCCGACCATGGATGCAGACGAGCAGCCACCATGATTATTTTCAATGACTTGTGTGCTTGGAAAAGGCCCAAACTTGTCCAATGAGCCAAGTCCCGGTAGATCCGCTGCACTCCAGCCAGCACGGTATGCGCAAAGGTGGAGGAGGGCGGGCTGGCGGCTGGTCCAGATTCCTTTTTTGTCACTTGACGTTTACCAAGATCCAGCCCAGCTCGCGCTTGATGGTTGAGTGGTCTTTCAGATGGACGGCGCCTTGAAGCATGTGCAAATGCAAGTTAGGCAGTACCATCCATATCTGGAGGTAAGGTAACGCAGGGAAAGGAAAAGGGGCAAGCTGCATGTGACTGAGACCATCGCTCACATCTACCTTACCTTGAGGTATAGTGTGTCAGGCGCATCTGCATAAGGTACTATATGTACTGTGGTATCTGTGAGTGAGGTACTTGGGCGTTAGGAAGGAAGAAAGGAATTCCTAGGGCTGCGAGGAGGTGCCTGACAGATTGGACATTGACATCCCGTGGGGACATGGTGACATGTTCATGGCGGGACGAGGAAAGAAAGATCCAAAGATGGGAAATGGGAAACAAGGTGGGAAGGTGACATTCCGTCCAGCAAGGCAGGTCGGCCCCGGTTCTTTTGGCAGATCGGCATCGGAGCGGAAAGCACCACTACACCGTTCCTCCGCCCTCGCTTTCCCTAGGTACCTTGGGTAAAGAACCCTTTCTCGTCGTGCCGTCCTCGCTTCTTTCCTCACTCGAGCTTGTAGCCTGGCAGGGCTTCTCCGAGGAGGCACAGGCAGTTCGGGTCCTTCCAAAAGTAAAGATTCACTATCGGATACTACCAAGTACCTGAGTTGGGTAAAGGACGTGAACGTTGAATGTTTGCGAGCCGAAGCTAAAAGTCATATGCACCTTGCGTTTACATAAGCCCACTCCGTACCGCAACAGGCAATTCGCAGCCGGAACCGGCCGTGAGCAGCCGGAGCTGGGACTTGGCCTGTGGTTGACAAAGGGAAGGTTGAGAGGCTGAGCAGTCATTGTTTGCTTTTGTTTCACATGGCGTCCCTTGCTCCCCTTCAAGCACAGAACTCACTACCTACCGCAGTACGACAGAACACAACAGGATGACGAACCCCTCCAACCTTGTTCTCAGCTCCAGCACGCTCAGGTGTCTTTGTCTGACCTCTGAGAGAGAGAAGTACTCGACTCTATTGCGGGCGGCCCTGAACGTCGTTGCTAACACTACCAAGAGACACAGCCAGTTTCCGACTTTCCTTTTAAGCTTCGCATCCATGGGCACCCTTGGCCCTTGAGAAGCTGTCACCAGACTGTCAATCCGCGTCCGTTCGGCATCGCTGGCAGCCACCGGATTGGCCATTGCGTCTGGACCCCTGACCTTCACTTCCTGGTTGACTGCTTTCGCGCCCGTTTCAGAGAGCAACGAACGCCTTGTTTATGTACGGATACTTCCAGGCCACGTTAGTGGTGTTCTCATAGGGCGGGCACTGAGAAGCTACAGGGCACTGCAAGCCACACAGTCCTCTCTGCAGCAACGTCTACTGCGTAAGAACGCCCGCTGCCAGATCCCAGGTTGTTCGGTATCACAGCTTGGATTTTGCACTGTGGCAGCCAAGCTGCTCCGAATATCTCATCGGGAACCTTGGCTCCGTCTGTGACACCAATCCCTTAGCGATAGGGCGCTTGGTGCTGTCGAGTGACCCCAGATCATGGTTTCGGAGAATGGAGATCATGGCGGTACTTTGTGCCTGGTGCTTCCCTTACAGCCGCACTTGCTTGCGGAAGCCAACGATGGATGACATGGAGCATCACCCGCAATCTCGAGTGGGGCACACGTAATAGCGAGGAATCCAATCGCTGGGCTGAGCTGACCGGCTTCAGTGATCAGCATGCCTATCATCACCGCTCGACTAATTGATGCCTGGGCCGATTCGCGACTTCGCCGGCGACAATCTCGCAACTGTTACACAGCTCATGGTGTCGATGCAGGACCTTTGGGCACTCGGCGGAGACAATACCCGAATACGTACGCTGGGGCCCTGGATCTCACCGCTGTTCCATATCTTGAACTGTCTTGGAATGGCCTGTTGCTACTCGACGATCGATGTAGAGGCGTTGGTGTTGCATCGCGGCATCTCGTTCGACGACTGAACGAATCGAATCGACACTGAGGCACCGCCGCCAATCTTGCAGACCCAAATCCGAGAGTGCCATGCGCCTTTACCATCTCGCAGGATGCAGCGATTACCCCCACCTAGTCAAGCGAACTTGTCCCTCTTGTCTATCATCTATCTAGGCACTACCTAGGTATCTAAACTTGTCCCGGCTGCTTTCCTTGCTGCAACATTGGCAAGACAATTCGCGGCAGTAGTTCCTCCTAATCAACTTTTTCAGTTCAGTCGAGAGTTGAGACTCAAGAACCAGAGCGCCAGAGCTGGTCTTGATCACCTAAACCAGCTCTACCGTCCGAGGAAACTAACAGCCATTCCGCCCAACACGTCATGGCCCAAGTGCAGGTACAGCGTGGCCAGACAATTGTTGTTCAGACGGTTCCAATCAGCCGGGCTCGTTAGACCCGAAGACACATTGAGTGCATTTAGTAGGCGTTGCAGGTAGTTTCTGTTTCTCCGAGAAGCTTTGGTTACGATAGCGCGAAACAAGCGCTGGAAACGAAACAAACAGACTTACACATGCCATGGACTCGACATCACTGCTTCTGAGCAACAGCAGTCGGCCTTCAACGTGTCACGGTTAGGGCAGCCTCGGCGTGCGTCCAGAGTTCGTCAGGTGCAGTAGGGGCAGAAGGTGCGGACGCCTATCGTGGATTCGGGGGACGGTCTGATCTAGGGCTTCCATCGGCTCGAGACGTATCACGCCGTGGCTGCGACTGCGTAGAAAGGCTAACCCTTCATCTGTGACGGCGCCCGTCTCCCGTAACCCGTCCCTACTTCTGGGCGGTGTTCTCGACCACGGTTCCAGGTTGATCGCCGGCCCAAATCAGCGGCTGCTAAGCCTGGGTGCTTGGGTATAGGCCGAGCATAGGTATGTTACGGTTAATCTTCATGAGGTGCTCCGACGAGTGTGATTCACCCGCCACAACAGACACCCTGTGGCACTTGCACAGTGAAGAACAAGAAGAGGGAGAAGGACTAGGACCACATCTTCCCACCTCTGAACGCACACAGACGCACTATCCGTTGACACAGCTGCACATAATTACCTATAGCTTGCGCATCTTGGGATGCCCAGTCCTGTGGCATGTGGGCATCCCCTTTTGTGGGAGGGAAGATGAACCCTCGTACCCTGCCAGACCAGCTTGCAAGGGAGACCCGAGTTAGCCGTCTATCCAATCTGAGTACGACCCCACCATACCTCACCCACGCGAGACTGCA